ACCATCATTTTTACAAAATCAACTAACAATGTTGTAAAGATGCAGGAAATGTCAAACAAAAACTTTTACGTATCTTATTAGTTTAATAATGAGACTGTTAACATGCCTAAGAATTGAATATGAGGAAATGTGAAAAATATGCTGAAAAGTGAAAAAACAGCATAACTTCTACAATAATGGCCCGATCATGCTGATTTTCGAACTTGACCTGCGTTTTATGAATATTCATCAGCTCTGTAAATATAAAGCCAAAAAGTAAAACTGCCCTCCACTTATCGTGTTTACAAGGAAAGTGCACGGCGCCGGCATCGCCATCGGCATCGGCATCGACAGACGCAGGTGATGGCAATATGTACAGACACATCTGTGTCTGTACATAAAAAAGGGGAAAATTAATTAAATTAAAATATTGGGAAAAGCAGGAAAATGCCATGTAGTCTGCAAAATTTGACATGTGCTATGAAGTTATTCAAAAGTCTAATATAGTGCAATGCAAATTTTTAGGGAGTCTATAAAACTGACATATTTCATCAGCTTCAGCAATTAAATTGTACAGAGAGAAGCATAATCTCCCATCTGTCTCCCCCTAAATTGTTGCACATCATATATCTTTGCCTGACTAGTAGAAAAGCAATATAAGTAACCGAATGAAGTCCTGTTCACCTTTATCATATCATACCATTAATTTTTACTTATATTTTTGTGTACTTCTTCACAATTTGGGGAGCATCAAATATTCTGTCTACATCAAAATACCTTCCCATAATTTTCCAGGAGATTTACCAGCTTTCCTGGCAAAACCATGCTCTCTTGTTTCCAAACTTTAGTAAACCATCTGGTAATCTTTGGAAATATTGGCTATTTGGGTAAAGTGTTGATGTGACACACACCCACCTTTCTTTCAGTAGTACCCAACCACCTGCTCCTGATGTGAATGAGAACCCTCCAAGTTCCTCGGGACTCAGCTTCATTACAAAAGTGTCCTTCTGCTGATCAAAAGCGACATCTGGGGACATGATCACATGGAAATGAACACTGATCTCTGCCTCGTTGCTGTTCCTCGACTTCTGTGTATTGACATTTTTGCCCCTAAAATTAGTACAACCATTGCCAGTAGTGACTTAGACAAGTTCATGTATGTAATTTTCCACGTGTATAAATAAAACAATGAAGAGAGGAAAGAAAATTATCCTGACCACTGATTTGATTAAATCCGCACTTACATTTTTACATAAAATATTAGCTCAATTGCAATCAAAAGTAGTTATTATAGTTATCAGTGATTGTATTTGTACATTCAACAATTTAATAAAGAAGGTCTACAGGAGAACTAATCAATGTCAAAAAATACAAGTACATATATATATATATAGATGTAAAAGAAAATCAAATAAAATCAGAAAAAAGATACCAATTTACATCTAAACTACATATGTATTTAATTTTTAAAAGGAACATCTATAAATGAATTTTTTTAATAAATTTCTGATGTTATATAATTTTTGTACCTGCAAATCAAATATACTTTATTCACAATTGTAGAAACAGCACACACTTATGATAAAAAGTTACTTACTTGTTTTTTCCCTTTTTACTGTTGCCTTTTGTTGCTGGGACATAATTGTCTGGTTCTTGGTTCTTCTTGTTTATCATTTCACCTCCTATTCGATTATCGCTCTCTGCTGTTGTTGCCATCTTAAAGTAAGTTTTCTAACTTAACAAATACACCATGAAGATGCAAATACTTTATTACAAATTAACCTGTATCAGAATAAATATTTGTGAAATAAAAAACATATTATGTGACACTCTAAAAAATACATGTGCCTTACATTATGTAACTTGACATCTGGATATTGGCATTCTAATTCAAATTATCTCATAACAATAAATAATAATAATAATATATTTGGATAATATATAAAAAAATGCATCAGATATTGATTACCTCCTGGGTATCTCTTTGAGGTTCGTCCACTGGAGATCCGACATCTTCATTCTCTTGTGGTAAAGAGCTTGTTGAAGGCTGTTCAGTAGTGTTGTTTGTTTTTTTATCATTTTCAGTTGAAATATCACCTTTGTTTCCCTCACCAAACACCTTGCCTTCCTTGTCAGAAGTACTACTTGTTGCATTGTGTTGCATGGTGAAAATCCCAGCATTAGTGTTAGGATTCCTGTTAGAAGTTACTCTTTTTCCATCACTAGAGGATACACCAAGGGTACCTTCATGTACATCTTTTGATGTAACATCAGTGCCTGTGAACTGTGATGAAGTGCTTGATGTGCCTGGCTCCTGTGACGAACTAACTGATCTGCCTGTGGTCTGTGATGAACCACTTGATGTGCCTGGCTCCTGTAATGAACCACCTGATGTGCCTGGCTCATGTAATGAACCACCTGATGTGCCTGGCTCCTGTGATGAACCACTAGGTTTGCCTGGCTCCTGTGATGAACCACTTGATATGCCCGTCACCTGTGATGAGCCACCTGATGTACCTGGCTCCTGTGATGAATCGCTTGATGTACCTGGGCCCTGTCTTGAATCACTTGATGTGACTGGAGTCTGTGATAAACCACTTGGTGTACATGTGGCCTGTGATGAACCACTTGATGTGCCCGTCACCTGTGATGAACCATTTGATGTACCTGGCTCCTGTGATGCACCACTAGGTGTGCCTGTGGTCAGTGGTGAACCACTTGACTTGCCTGGCTCATCTGATGAACCACTTGGTGTGCCTGGGGCCTGTCTTGAATCACTTGATGTGACTGGGGCCTTTGATGAGCCACTTGATATGCCTGAGACCTGTGATGAATCATTTGCTGAGCAGCCAGGCCGTAAATGGTGGTGGTGTTCCTCAGCCATATTTTCATCTTTGTTTTGCATGGAGGGTGGATACTTCACTTGGCTCATATCAACATGTAACTCTTCATCAACTTTAATCTTCTTTGGACGGCTTGGGGTTTCACTGTCTGATGTTCTTTTTGGCATAACTTCTACTTCAACTGTTGGTTGATTTATTTCAGTGCCCTGAACTAAAAAAAAACATTAAAGAATTCAATCATATGATTATTCTAAAAAACGATTTCTCTGAAAAGATTATCTTTTATATTTGCACATGCAAATAGTATTTCTTCAAGTCACTATCTTTATACACTGATAGTGCAGAGGCAGATTAATGATTAACTTACTGTGACTCAATTTATCATCTGGTTATATTACATTGCATGTACTTTCAGTTTACTACTTAAAAGACACTTCTGGGATTAATAAACAGCTGTTTAAAGCCTAACATGTGTATGTCTCTGCATGAGTTCACATACATTAGACAAGAAAAATTCAATAAAAAAAGTCTTAATAAAACATGAAATGAAATTAAAGTAACTACATGTACATGTATCTGAAGGTCATCATTAAAAAAAAAATGAAAATAAAATAAAATAATAATAATTAATTGAATAAAAACTTTAATACCTTTTTCAACTCTGAAATTACCATTTGTCTTTTTCTCTCCACAGCCTGGGCAGAAATTGTGTGTTGGCAATAAAGTGGCACCACACTCTCTTCCATCAATGATGTTAGTGCACACAGTTCTGCTTTCACATTCAACAATGGTTGACAACTTCACAGATGTTCCACAATTTGGACAAAATTTGTTGCCTGGGTCTAAGTCTGCCCCACAAGGGTCCCCTCCAGGAGGACCAACACACTTCATTCTTCTAAACTATGGGTAAGTTATTCTTTCTTTGGGCAGCTAGTAGTTTCACTGTCTGATGTTCTCTTCAGCACACCCACTGCCTCAGATGTAGAGTAATTAACTTCCCTGTCCTGAACTACAAAAAGGATTCAAAGAATTTAATCAGGTGATTGTTTGGGTAGTGATTCATTTGTGAACTGATAAGATTTTTCAAAATTACTATATTTGCACTTTGATAGTGAAGAGGTGGATTAATGATTACCTTGCTATTTATTATTCAAATGTATATTTGAAGCATTTCTTTGAAATGCTAAATGCCCATGTAACAAATGCTACTGATACATGCAGTAGTATCATTGTATCCTAACATTTTATTCTTAAGCCACCCCTGTATAATTTCCTAACCAATTATGGTTACCTTTAAATTCATTAATATCATTTTAATATGTTTTGAAATAAAAATTTCACTGAACAAAATAAAAACTTGCTGCTTTTTATTTTTCTGAACCAAAGGAAATACATGTAACAATACCAGTTTTTGCATGCCACAGACATGCATGGCTGGTGATTAAGTAATATTGGTAAAAAATCTTGTGAAAAAAATATTTTAATGCGCCTGGTAGAGTGAACATTGTGTATCTTGCTGTTTGCTACTCTTGTATCAAGCCCTGACCCTGGTATCACAATAAAAAAAGGCAACTCCATGGGATTTTCCTGCCAAAAAGGATTTTCCCAGGAAAATAAGCAATTTTTTGTACTTATGAATCATTTATCTATAATCCTATAATCCCTCTCTGCACTTGGATTCAACCCTTAATTAAATTTATAAAGGTTAATTTGGTTTAAAATGACTAGCCAGTCACCCAATGTATTAACCAGCGGCCGTCTTCCTAAATACATATGCTCCCATGTAAATATCAACATCAAGTATGCTCCAGAAAAATATTATTTAAGGGGTTAAATCATTTTAAGGTGTATGTATGGTTTTATAAGAAACTGCAGATGACAAAAATTAGCGTTTGGGGAATTTTCAAACCCATGTAGTGTACCTTAAAGTTAGGTTCCTTACCTAAGAACTTAATTACCAAAGTTACATGTTCACATCTTACCCTATTAGCAACAGTGTTACAGCACTGTCAACTAAGCCAGGGAACTGACTTGAGGTTTTTTGTGAAACTGGGGCCTGCCAATCTAAATAAGCAGTTTCGTGACTACTCCGCCATTTTAAAGCACGCGACACAGTTTCAACCCTCTTGTAGTTGAAGTCAACAAAAACTGGTACAAACGACCACTTAAACAATTGAATTTTAAACGTTGAATTATTTCTATTCTGTAACAATACCACATAAAACTTACAAGCGTTAAAGGTGATCTTTCGGTATTTCACAGGAACAACCTAAGAGCTAAAGTGAAAATGCAGACGTCGCCACTTCTCTATTGTGCTCTGAGCCTAACGCCCGAAGTTACCAAATATATATGGTGAAAGCGAAACCAACTGATAACTACTACTGATTGGCATCGGGAATACTAATGTTTCTGACTAAGCCACTAAAATTACCTCATAATTTTCCAAACAACATTTTTTCTTCTGAAATTGCTTCTTTTAAGCCAGACGAAAGAGAAAGTGGGTACTAAATTTCCCCGTGCGACTTGCTGGAAATTCCGGCGGTTACTAAGTTATTTCGTAACATTTGTTTCAGTTTCGAAGTATTTTAAATGAACAAATACTTGTAATATACTAAATTTGAATAGATTTTCCATTTTGATGCCTATTAAAATAATTATTTTATTAATTATAAAATATCAACTGAGTGTTTGGAGTTCTCATATAAGATCAAAACTTTTATCAAGAAGGTAGATAGCTTTGGGGTACATGTTGTGGCAACTTTGACAGGTCCGTAGTAATATATGTTTAGGGTTATTAACTAGATAAAGATAACTAACAGGATTATTTTAGTATATTAGTATTTATGTTTTAAAGCATATTTACTATTTTAGCATCTTAAACATACCAGATAGTATATTAAATTATAAATATATGATATATGCATGAATATATTAATAGATATGTTGGACCTATGAAGACAAACAGCCAACAGGACAGGAAAGACGAGAAGATGTGAGCATTCGTTTAATAGTGATTATTTTCATTTGCATGGCCAAATGCTCCGTTGATATATCATTTAAAACAAAGGCACTCTGTTATATCAGTTATCATTTGCGATGCACAGCAATCTGATATTCTGAAAATTGCTACTTGAGTCGAGGATTTCAGTTGGGGAAAATGTCTATAAGACTATTTCCCCCACAATTTCCCTGAGGATTCTGTAGTTTTCAACTTTCACCTTTTAGAGCCTGTGTGACAGGAATGGTAGTCCTAGGAATGGAAGACCGGAGTCCCCTATGATTTCTACAGGTAAGGACTAGTGGAGTACTGGAGTTAGTATATGTCGCCTGTACAAAGTACTGAGTACAGTAAAGGGGAACGAACTACGGTTCCTTGCGAATAACCATTCTTGTCTCACCTGGAATTCCGCCTTCCTCCAGATATATTTCAGCCTGAAAAAAAGCCGGGTATATATCAAATCAGAAGACAACTGCAGTTTAGCATCATAATTATATGTAGTGACAAAATTTGAAAATCAATACTGAATTTGAATATTGGAAAATACTGTTGTCTGTAATAACAGTACATGATGCAGCCTACTGGTAGTGCAGGCCCGTAGCAGGGGGTGGGGGTGGGGTTGGGGGTTCAAAAGAACCGCACTTTTTGCTGGGAAAAGGTCCACTCTGGATAACATTTGATCTAGGTACATGAAGGTTTATGGTAAAAGGTCAACTTTTTCAGAAAACAAACCCCCCATTTGAAATTGCTGGCTAGGGGCCTAGCTGTAGTGTATACTGTAACCTGTAAGGTACATGTACAGTAGAAATAGGGTCTGCCTAAATTGTGCAATACAGCGCAACACAGCGCAATACACTTGAAAGAGACGAGTCCAGTCACAAGTAAACATGAGATGCCTGTAACATTTCTTTTGCTAGAGGTCAATCATTCAGTACCAGAACAACACTGAATCAATTAAGAGTAAATTGGTACTCCGCAGTCATAAATTTGGACAATTGATACATGTATCACAGTTAAGAACAGAAACCACCAAGTAATTTCCCATTGTACCAGGCAGCCTCCTCTCCACCCACTGTCAGGCCAACAACAACCTTCAGCAGCAATCCTGATGCACCGGTCATACTAAGACCTGGAGGGCCCAGCCAGAGAATTTGTCCAGTAGCCAGTCCCAACCTCCAGATGATGAATACAAGTTGGTTTCAGCAGAATAAATTGTCAATCTGGTCACAAAGTCTTGTCAGAGCATACAGCCGAGTGCACTGGCTCAGTGGTTTGGGACAGAGAGGCAGAGAGCAAAAGGGGAGTGACTTGGTCAATAGGACTAAAATGTGACACATGTCAGTACAGGACAGGGAAGCAGAAACTGTACAATGAAGTCCAAAGTAAGCAGCATGTCCGGAGATCAGCAATGGTGAATGCAGGCTTGCAAGTAGGCCTGTCACAGAATATGATCTCTAGCACAGCAATGAGGTTGATCTTAATGGCAAGCAATGTGACCCCGCCCAGCCCATCAGCCATGCAGAAGCGAGCTAACAAAGTCAGTGCAGCGATAACAGAGCTAAACAAAGCTGATATGCAACAGCGCCGCAAAAACCTACATCACATTCAGGATCTCAGAGGGTATGGAGTACAGCCCATAGCAGTAGAAGGAGATGGGAGATACAGTAATAGCCTGTTCAGCAAAGGGAACAAAACACCATACCAGCCAGCCATTCAGACTGTGTACACTGTAGCAGAGAATGTGACCAGCCAGAAGGACATTATTATTGGTGGTAACAAGCTCTGCCATACTGCTCACCTGCTCAGAAGTAGAGGGGAAGATGTCTCTTGTCCAGAGCACAGTGGAGTCTGCAGAGCCAATCTACCAGAAGACGACAGCATTGGTGACGAGCAATGTGCCTTGAGGAAATTTCTGGAGAGGTCACAGTTGGTGCCTTAACCACTGATGGTGACAGCCAAACCCACTCTGCGTGTGACAATGTTGAGTCTTCGGGACACACAACACTTTACCAAAGCTCTGAAAAAACAAATAGAAAAAGCACCATTTTCTAGTCAAGTGTTTCCAGGAAAAAAAAAACACACTAAAGACAAAATGCAAAAATGCTTTACTCAGTGCATAGCAATGCGCTGCTATTCTGAATTTGATGCTTGCTTTAAAGGTGCATACAATGTCATTTTTTTGTCACATTTTATAATACTTTTTTATATTTATGTTAACAATTCAACTTTTTAGGGGTTATCATGTGTTTGATTTTTTTTAAATTTCAATATATGAGTTAAATAAAATCAGTATAAAAAAGGTCCCCTTTTTATTTAAATTCTCATATTTGTTATTACTAATTTCTTCCTTACATCAATGTCACACTGGTATATGACATCAATGTTTATTTATCATATTTCAGCACTAAATTTTTAACTGTAAATAATATAGATGATGCTAAAGTCATTAAAGAAAACATCATACAAAATTTCAGGTTATAGTTTGGCAAATAAACAATATTTCAACAAGATCTTCAGCCCCAAAGACTTCACGTTCTACAGTGAGTAGATAGCATACAACGTATTTGATTGACAGGCAGTATGTTGCCTTGACAACGAACTAGATATATCTAGTTCATCCAGTTCAATCTAGCTGTTGTTTCCAGCACAGTACTTGTGTAGTTTCTGTTTTTGGAACGGTCTTTATCTCTAGAGCACGTAGATTTTTAACCAAATAAATATTCAGTAGTGAGCCTGTTACGTGAATAAATTTTGTCTTGTGAAGTCCTGGAGGGTGTTCACTTTCATAATTTGGCGGTAAGTTTGCTCAGACTTCGTCTTGCGACTGCATGTGTTTTGTGCCAAAAGTAGGTTACTCTTTTCAGTACCGTCTTGGAAGAGAGAAAAAGACGTTAGAATGCATCAAAATGATTTTTTAAAAAAAGATTTTTGCTCTGAATTTCTCATTATAATCATAACCTGTTCGTCGTACAGCCAATCCTGCAACTTCACTTGCCCGAACTGAATTTTTACCTGCCCCGGACAGGCGCTAATTTCGAGCCCTGCGTCGCATCTTTACTGATATTTTCTCTTGCCGCATGGATTCATTTATTTATAAGTGATCACGACTGCTACTATTCTTCAGTCAAAATAACATGAAGGATAGACTATGAGATGCTAATACTACTGCGCCAGGCAGAATAAAAATAAACAACGTAACGTGCACACAAGAGATTCAAGTACGCACACAAGTCGTTTGCGTCGCGTCTGTCAGGAATAAAGGCAATGGGCACACACACACTACCAGGGTATCGGAGTTCAAAGAATCGTGTCGGCAAAAAAAAAAAGAAAAAAAAAAAAAAAAAGAAGCGTATCGGCAAAAAGAAATGCGTATCGCCTGGGAGAGAACCCTGCACTAGCTGATTTGGTAGGCGTGACAGACAATTAAGCCTCTCGAGCTGCTAGCAATTTAGGATGAACCCCCAGGGAGTTAGGTCGATCCAGATGGATCGATCTACATGTAAGTATGGGAACCCAGTCCTAGACTTTAGCAACTCTGAAGACATGCACATCTTAAGACAAGTGCCTAAATTACACACTGGGCTCAAGGGCAATTTAATCAACAAAACTAAATATCAACACACAAAAAGTTAGATAACTAATAATTAAGTCGTCACCTTTTCTTGGAACTTTGCAGGAAGGATTCACAGTGCAGTCGGCTTAATAGGTATCGTGCTGGTATCGTGCCAACTTCTTCAATCATTAAATATCTGGAGAAAGATGAAAAACAGATAAAAATGAGAGTAAATCACAAAAAGACAATTGCATTTAAGTTTAGAGCTAGAAGTAGAATCCTTAACTGCTACAGAAGATATGACAGATGTAAAGCATTGAAAAGTAATGACTATAGAAAATCCATATCTATGCCAAAACTTATATTTCATGATCACAATTATTCAAAGAATTAAAAGAAAATGTATGATTTTGAGATACTACTCTTTAATAAATATGTAGTAAAATACAAAAATACAAAAGTTTGTTGGTCTTTCTTCTATTTAAAACTAAGAAATATTATTGAGAAACTAGAAATTTAGTAAATGTAAGTTAAAAAAAAAATAATTATCATGTACACAATTTGGCCTCTGCTTGTGCCCGAGGCACCTGCCCACATTACGACAGTGTAGTCTGTTATTGTTGATTCCATGAGGCTCTGCTGTGAGATGATCGGGGTTACAGCACAGAGTGACTGCACACAGGTGGGATACTTCTGTCCCTCTTGGTATGTTCAGAATTCTTTCCTTTAGCATAAATGCCACCCTGTGCACTCCAACAGTAACAGAGTGTCTTGCCCCAGGGAATGTAACCCTCATCATCCCATAACAGACCCCACTGGAACAACTGGTGCCCCCAGTCCATAGCCAACAGTATCCCTCCTGTGTGTTATGCAATTTGCTGTTTAATTTTTCTCTCAATTCGAGGAAAAACTGCTCGTTAGCCATATTTGTAAGAAATGATGCAAGACAAAAAATACTGTCATCAGACAAAATTTGTTACCAGCATTACTTGAACATGTGCACCCCTCTGTTTAAAAGAAGCACTGCACCACTAATAGTCAGTAGCCCCCTCCGCCACAGGTCTCACGACTGCACGGCATTTGTGCCTGGTCCTGGAAAAAAAACTGGCAGTAGTTTACACCCTAGCCTACTAGCTGATACCAAAATTAACCCTAGCAACATACAAGAAATGCCAGGAAAAAAAGGAAAAACAATAATTTTCTTTTACTGAACAACATTCGTCTATAACAGCCGGTGATTGGTCCATTTAGTGGTTTTTGCCCTTAAAGATTATTCATCATTATGTTTATAGGATGTGTCAGTTGAAAGAACTTCAACACTAATTTTGTAATTAAACCTTTCTGAAAAATCAAAGGTGAAAATAGTTATAATTCTCCAAAATCTACTGTTACCATTTTATATTCAGTATCTTTATGAAAATGACTGACATCAATGGGCAACAATAGCATAAAGTACATGTATATATATATTGCTATATTAATACTCTCATACTTGTTATTCTGCTTAGGAGAGATGAAAGATGGCACCAGATGGGTGCAGTATTTTCACCATCACTGGCAATGTGTTGTGAAATAAGATGTCCACAGTAACCCAGAGTATGTTCCGTTTTGGAGGAGACCTGGAGTTTGACCTCACCTGGGAGCCATTCCCAGGAACAGTGATGGATGTGCGATTGAAACCATACTCCAGGAGGGTCAGTTTTCTACAGTTTCTACGTCCACTCACACCAGAAAAACCATATTTTCTGGCACAGATTAGGTCACTGGGTAAGAAGTTTTAACACAATTTTATTTTAATAAAATTAATAAATTAAAAATGATCACTGTTTATGTTTTTTCTAACTGTGGTTCTTGATAGTGGTTTTACAAATGCAAACTATCATTTTGATGTAATTCTCAGTGCTGTCATTAAAGTTAAATGCCTCTTTTCCACAAGTAATAGCAAACCACTCACTTTCTTGAAAACCCTCTATCATTCATGCCTTTTTTCCTGTAATATCAATATCCAGGTCCAACAAGTGTGGTAACAATAGGTATAGCCGGCTCTGACATCCCCCTAGATGTCCATCCAGGTCACTGGAATAACACAGTGGGCTACCAGAGCCACACTGGCAAGTGTTACACATCACATAACTACAGTGGCAATACAGATGGAGAGAAGTTTGGCATGGGTAATTCATCTTGATATTATTGACAATTATGTTGTGTATTGACGATGGAGAAATATTTTGATTTTGATTTAAATTTTTATTTATTTTTATTTATTTTTACATAAACTCATTAAAATTTTTAATTTTGTGAAATTGACTATTATATGTACATGCAGTCAGTACATTTACATGACACAGAAGAGTATTGACTTAATTGCTATTATATGTTACCCCATAGGTACCATAATATAATAGCAGAAATTTAAATATTGGTATATACATCTATATACATGGACTTGTATGTGAAAACTGAGGATACTTATGTATGTTTATTATCCCCTTGTTTTACTGGTATTAATATCTAAGATAAATGCCATTTGGACTCAACATGTCAATAAAGCATGTTTTAGTTGCCCATTAGATAGAATTGTTCCTGAATTACATTTGTAGGCTTAAACACTACTAGGCTATGCATTAAAATACTCATTTCAGGTGATGTTTTTGGAGTTCTTGTCACCCATTTTGACAAACAGTCATCTACTGTAGTATTCATAAAGAATGGGTTGCCAATAGGAACAAGGTAGGGTGTGAGTTGTAATCCAGTCGTAAGAGATAGTCGATAAAAGGCCCTCAGTGCCATAATATCATTTGATTTGTTGAAAATTGATTTGAAAAATAGTGATATGATTTAAGCAAAGTTATTTACTTGGACGCAATGTGTCCATTGTTCCCCAGTCCTTAATTTACACATAATTTGAAGCACAACAAATCATATTTCATATTTTGACTATTTATTGGCAATATTTACAATGCATGGATGGTCCATATTTCCAGGTATCATTACCAGGCAAAGCACAGTGAGTTCTTCCCTACTATAGCCCTGGAGAATGGGGCCATAGACATAGGCATGTTGTGGCCCCCAGCTGTCCTCAAACCCCCAGCACTTAGTATGGTGAGAACAATACATATAGCTTTATATGATAATATATATACATGTTCTACTGAATAAATTAATAATATGTATATACTCTTAAAGTAAAGGTGGGCTCATAGAGCTAAACACCAATTACTATGAGAATTCCTCCCTTTTTTGGTACCAATGGCTGAAAGTCAGGGGTCTGGCTCATAGACTACAATTATTCTCTCTCTCTCTCTCTCTTTTTTTTTGTGAATTTTTTTTTTTTGGATTGGTCTGTATCATCATTAATTTGTTTGCATGAACACTATTCTTTGTTTTTGTTAATAGCAAACCATTTTGACTGTTATTCCTCTAGGGCAACATGAATCACTGGATCAAAGCTTCCAACATTCAATATGATGCAATGAAAGAGACATTTTACTATGAAGATACAGAGAAATATGCATTTTGCTCCATGCAGAGTTCTGTGGCATTATCAAAAGGTGAGCCGCTGGTTAATTTATTCTTATGTACAGCATAAGAACCTTGCAGTTAGATGCCACAATATGCAGTTTAAATCCTAAAAATTATTTGACAATAATGAATGTGAAAAGCTTGTACATGTACATGTACTAATGGTACGTGTCATGCCAAAATTGGTATGTCTGGTAATAACAGTATTGAAAAGCAGCACATTTTGAGTTTGTTCATCAAAGTTTAACTTTAACACTTATTCAAATAGTAATGATAAATCTAGAGATAATGTAGTCTCAAAAAATGAGGGTGCCATGAGAATGATTTAAATGCTACACTTGCCAAATGATAAACATCTGACCACTTCCACACTGAAATAAATTGTCAATGGGATTATTCCAATATGTGTTCTGAATTTAAAATGATTATTCAGTGTCCTTTTTGAAAATAATTTGAAACAGTTATATTTTATAGGGAAGTAAGAATACTTATCTGAGGCATGCCTATTATGCAACATAAGTAAAGTCATATTTTGGCAGTACACATGTATGAGTATGGTACTTAGCATTTCAACTTAAAACAGTGCAGGATTGTGCTCTTGGAGGCTGTAGTATCTGAATTAAGTGACTCATTTATTAAAAAATCTCTCTTAACTACGCATTAAACATTTCTGTTAGATTCAAATTAACATATGAAAACCATGAGTCAGTTTATGAATAAGAGGCCTTAATTAGAAGGATTGGCCAGTGTTGATCAAATAAAAATTGCATGAATCACCATAGATCATGTAAACATCTGCATGGTATTGAAATCTTCTTGCATGTATGTTATTAATATTAAGCAATTTAATATTTAGATCACATAAACATCTGCATGGTATTGTAATCTTCTTGCATGTATGATTATACAGTATGTTATAAATATTAAGCAATTTAATATATAGATTTGGTCAGTCTCAGCCAGTCAGTCAGTCATTATTAATAAGACTAATCATGATTTCATTAAAGTATTTCTGTGCACTGTATTAAGTTGTTTCATTATTTTAGACATTCAGCACTTTGATGTGGTGGTGAGGGAGGTAAATGAGAAGGGCCATGGACCCACCATAGCTCTGGTCACCTGCAGCAGCTTAATGCTGTATCCAACCTGCGGACTCATGGTGGACTACCTCAAATGGTCAAATGAAACTACAGGTGAAGGATAGAATAAATAATATTAATCTTTTTATGTTTATCTTTCAGGCAGTTTGTTTTGAATGTTAGTCGTCTCTGAATGTTATCCCATTGGCTTTCTGTCTTACAGAGGCCTTGGTAAAAAAACAATATTTGCATGTTGGTAAATAAATATAATTAAATTGATTGAACATTCACAAGATGTGAACATTATTTACAGTTTATTTGATTTGGAACAGATCTTTAATTTCATTGCAGGCCTGAAACCATGCGTGGCATGCACAAACTTCCTTCACATATGTACATGTTACTTGTTTATAATGGAAACTTATATACAGTAGTTACATATTTAATCTTAAATGCAACATTCTGTTTTTACTTTGCTGGTCTAGGTATCATAAACTTTCATAAAATGTTTAAACCAACTTTACAAGGTTATTTATTTTACCCCCTACTTGGTAAATTCACATTGAAGGTACATAGTACAGTAGTTATACTGAATGTGGATCAACTGGCTCTTCATCTTTTTTCTTTTGGATTACTTTCAGATCTGAAACTGGAAGTAGGTCAGCGTATAGGTTGGGGTGTTCACTATGGCCCTGAGAGCCAAGAGAAAAACGTAACCTTTGATGAAACTGCCCTGCAACCTGTGTTGTGTTATGTCACTCTGGACACCACTGTCATATACTGTAAAATCATGCTGCAGCCCCCTGGAGGTTTCTTCCCGCTAGTCACACTCAAGCCATATGGTACATGAATACATACTTTGGTGACACTTGTGCACTTGTTAAAAAGTACATTTATGTGATCTATTAATAAGTAATTATTTATGTGAAGATTGGTACAATTTTGATAAATTCAGAGGTTTGGTTAATTTTTGATTACTGTATTACCATTTGCATTGATTGAAAGTATGTTGCTTTGAAATAACATATAATATTGTATCTTCTGTTTTCTTTGTTAATTTTTTATTTTAATTTTTTTAACAGCATCCAAAGTCAAGATAGACATGACATTCAACCCCCGTCCCAAGGGAGTCGAGAATCTGGACCAGTTGTATGCAGAAAGGTTGCAGGGAGCTATGGAAGAACTAAAAAAATCATTTGATCTGACAAGTGAGAGTTTTTATTGCACAAACATTTTAGTAGCATATAGAAAGAAGATACGAAAAGTTCACATATTGCAATGATATCGTTGTTTTGATTGATAACTGTTTCTTACAATTAAACTTACTGGTTGGTTTGTTATCTTATTTAGAACCATATTTCTGATTGTTGTTTTCTTATTACTTTTCTTTTACTTATTGGTTGTTTTGTCGCACTCTTTCATGTTTGATTTACATCAATAACAAGTCTTGTTATGAAAATCATAAGTCTCTGCACACTTCATTGAAACTGAAAAGATTTGAAGCAGTGAACAAAAATATGTTTTCACCTAAACAGGTGGTGATTTTTGTATTTATATTTTAGGCATTCCAATGAAATGGTTAAGAATATCGGAAGATCTGCAAGTCACTGTTACAGACTATGTCACCCTTCTGAAATACCCGAAGGAACCCAAGGGCATGGGCGTCATTCAGCTACAACAATCTCTCAATAGACAGTACAATTATTATTCCATTACTGTTAATAAACTTGGTATGTTTACTCCACATTTTTTTTTTCTCCACATATGTGCTTTATTAATAAGAATGGTAAGATTTGATTTTAAATGTTATCTTTTACAATATTAACACAACCTGAGGGTTATAATACTGTTGCTGTTATGTATGCTTAACAACTGCATGATTACTTGTAATATACAGTATATTTAGGATTAAATTTAGTTGCATGTAAATATCCTGTGTGATGGATCATAAACATGTACATAATAAGCATTGACTCATCAACTGACCTTGTAGATGCAGACTCAGTGGTATGTCTGGGAGTAGCAGGAGCTGACTTCCCATTAAATAAGATGCCTGGAAAGCTGCCAGGATCTGTTGGTTGGCAATCCAAATATGGCTGTCTTCTCTCAGAGGGATCTGCCCATGGAAATTCCATAGGAGAGAGATTTCAAACAGGTATGCTTTAAATATACGATATTTTTACCACCAGTTGTTATTTTGTCAAAGGACAAACATATACTTTACGCACAGAAGAATTGTGCATGAAAGCAGTATTAAACAAAATGGGGAATTTTCTGGGAGTTAATATACACACTGTATTCTGTATGTCAAGTGAAACACAAATATGTATTGGGGGTCATGAATCTTGTTTAAGACACATTGTAAATGTTTATTTTCATCCAAATTACATGGCGTTTTCTCACACCCTGCATATTAACCTGATGCATTGTAGGGGATACAGTTGGCATCCAGATAACTTCCTTTAGTGAAAAGGCATGTGTGGTTCTGTTCATCAAGAATTACAGACCAGTAGGGACAAGATACCTGTTCAGCAAAGACCTAAATCAGTTGTATCCAACTGTGGCAGTGTTTGGGAACAAGCATGAAGTGGATCTTAATATCTTCTGGCAGAACCAGACCAGTGTAGGGCTATTTCCTGTGGTAAGGTTGAGGGACAATTAAGACGACTCTGGGAGTTGTTTTATTGGGAAAGATCACTTTTCATTCTGTTCAGTACATTAATTTTTGTTGCATTAAACATACTGTGCCATTTAATTCAGATGCTTTTTAATGCTGTAGAGATACAGAACCATTAAATATACATGTCTGTTAAGTTTTGAAGCTTCGTATCATGTTAATTTTTTTATGGTGGAAGGAGGAATAATGGAGAATTACTTAGTAAATAATTTTTTTCTGATGGATATTCATGTGTGTAGTCTGTTGATCATGTTAACAGATTTAACTTTTTATTTTCTGCACTAAAATATAACTGTACTGTACCCTGCAGTTACTGAAAGCTCTGTAAGGCACTTGTACAGCATTTTTAGTGTAGAAAATGAAAAGTTTAATCTTAAAACATTTTTATGTTTATAACATATTTTGTATATAAGGCCTTTTAGCATTTTTCTTTTTATTTTAAAAAATGAAAACATTTGATAGATTTACTTGCTTGTTAGACCTCCACAACTTGAAATGAATACAGCTTATCAAGTTGAAGATTTGCAAAAGCAGAGTGTGCTATACACATTCCATGTCAAGATTCTTTATTGCTTTTTCTTATAGACCAAGATAGACAGCTGGATCATCCCCGTAGGTGCTCGAATTGTTGACTCAGAAGAAAATGTTATAGAGGTCACTACTGACACAAATGATATCCTGTCCCTACAAGCACCATATGGACTCAGTAGAAGTATGTTACACAATCAGGCCTTATATTGGCATAACAGTGTCACAATTCTACTATTTCTGTATATTATTATTATTATTATTATTATTATACACATTTTTCAGATATTTACTACAGTAGCTTGTTTACTGCAAATCATGGATATTTTGAGAATTTTTCTGTTGGTAACCTTGAAGTGTGTAATATGCTAACATATTGGATCCACATTTATGGAAGGATTTGTCAGGGAATCTCATTTTCACTTTAGATAATATGCAACATTGAAACAAATCTTTCACCAGAATCTAAATGTTAAAAAATGGTGTTTTTTTTCTGCTTTTAATATGATTGGAATGTAATAAGTCCTCTCCAGAACCAAGTGTGATGTCACAACTAATTACAACTTTTCAAAAATGAGTTTAAATTTTTGGAACAAAAAATGAATAAAAAAGCAAAAGAGATAATTGACAATAAATGCCTATTTTACACACAAACCATGAGACAAATGTGAAATAATCATAACACATCATATCGCAGTGTTGGCTCGCTACCAGACTATCAAGTATCAAGTTTTTTCAACAAGATACATTGTAAATTTAATTTATATAATAAAATAAACAATCTTTTATCTTCTCCAGCTTACAATCATTTTGAGGTCCAAATAATAGAGGACTTCAGTGATGAGGTGCCTCCACCCATGATAGCTCTGACCACAGCCAGTCCTCTTCTGCCACCACCGGAGTCCAACTTCAGACAGGACTTCATCCGGTTCTGGGCAACTGGGGCAGGTATGATCACTGCTGGCACACGTACAGTATCTAACACCCTGTCCTGTCTAGCACACTTGCACAACACACACACTAACATACTGGTACAGATCAATATAAAACATTAAAATATCTGACGTACAGATACACTGAATTATCATTTTAGTATTTTAACATACATGTCCATACACTTACACTAGGGTTCTAAGTGAAACAGCAGAACTGACCTACACCATTATTCATCTGCCTTCAATGAATGGGATCGAGTTTAAAATCTATGCATGATAGTAAGATTTTCTGAATGTAAATTTAGGGCCCATTCCCTGTGAAACCATCATTCTACATAAAATGATCTAGCTCCACAAGGACTCTTGCATTACCCAAATTATCCCTTCCATTACAGATTATTTTTCTCACATGGTGTAATAGTTCTAATATTCATACTGTCTGCTTCCATTCCAGCATCCAGTGCCATAAAGAAAGGCGACAAGGTTGGCTGGGGGGTAATGTTTCCAGATAAGGAACTACAGGACAACAGCAAGGACGAGCTGGTCATTTGCTACTTGACCATTAACAGGGACATAGCACTGACCCGGGTGATGTTTAATCCTCCTGGAGGGTTTCACCCCCTGGTGGTCATCCCTCCTAGATGTAAGTGTTCAGTATCATATATTATTATTATACCAGGACCTGGAAAGCAGGTGCTGGGAGGATCCAATCTTTTCATCAAACAATGACAAAGATAAATCTAGGATATACTGTAGTATATGTATTGTGCTCATTAGTTTGTCTGCACATCTACATTTGTTTACATGATTATATGAGATATATTTATTCAATGTATGAAATTCTTTGCTGTTTGGAATTTTAAGAGTTTGTATATGTGTGCAATTTTATTTCAAAGATATAAACCATACATACATGTACAAAAAAGCATTGATGCAGACATATAATAGGACTGTGCTTTTAACAGGATACACACAGAATCCTTTCAAAAATGAAGCTTTTAGAAGGTCTATTACCTCATCCAGTTGGCAAATTTTAATCAATGCCATTTACAAATTGTCTTTTTTATTGCAGTGCATAGAGTAAAGCTGGACTTCTCATGCACAGTTATCATTGACCACCCATTCACAGATGAAAGCATTAGGACACTGATAGGGGAAGCCAAGCGTCTGCTAGCTGAAGAAGAGGAGCTGAAATCTGCTGGAAAAGACATAGGAGACTGGCAGAAAGACAAAATGCGGTACATCAAGGGGGTTCCACATGCAAAGAATGAACAGGAGAAGGCCCAGGAGGAGGAGTTATGTGGCGATGATAAAACTGACCTACATTCAAATACACCTGGGGTGGATAATGAAAGTGGAGAGATTAATTCCACTGATGAAGTATCTCAGTCAAGTGGAAATGCTGAGGAAACTTGTGAGGATATAAAGAAAAATAAGAAGAATAAGTCAAGGACTTGTGCAATACTTTAATCACAAAGCAGCAGTGAATTGACTCAGATTGAGCCAGTTGTATTATGAATATATCAGGGTTTCCTGACATTTGCAATATTTATACCACATGAAAAATGCATATCACTTGATTAGCTACATTTTTACATTAGGTTAAAAGGGCATGATTTTTTTTACTTGAAATTACGTACCGCTACTGCTACATGTTCTACTGAGATCAGACAATTCGATGTACATTGTATGTCATAATGATTAGATAACATATACCAGTATGTGAACAGCGCAACGTACTTGTACATGGAGCAGATCTCCTCATTCCTGTTCCTTCTGTTTTTCACCTTTATTTTTTATTGAACACAACTTTATTTAAGGCTGTTTATACTAAAACCTTTTAAAGATATTTTTTTTACCCAAATGTAGCATGGCATTTATATTTATACTTGCATAATATTATGCATATGTGATGTGTGTTGTCTTAAATTTACAATGTATGTAGCTGAAAATAAGAAGTTTACATATGTTTACTCATAATTTCCAAGTGTAACTTAGTGTCTATGTATTTTAGGGGCGGATTGAGGCCATCTTCTGGGTCTTCTAAGACGGTCAGATTACATTGATGGGTATCTAATTTTTTTGTCGGAAAAATAGAGAATGGATCTACAAAGATACTTTGAAAGGCTCTCAGAAAATTTCTCTGGATCTGCCCCTGTATTTTGTGTCTAGTTATTTTATTTTTAAATTATTTAAATTAGCTACAGATTCTGTATCCTTATTTGTGAATATCAATTGAAAAATCAATCTGTAGTCCTGGTAGAGGGTTATATATATATATATATATATATATATATATATATATATATATATGGACTTGAATAAAAAGCTTCATACTGTACCTGTTTTCTGCCACTTCTCTATATAGATGGCAATTAGACTTGAGATTGCATCTTGTTTTCTTGTATCTTTAGGTGAGTGACAAACTGATTGGCTTCAATGCCATAAAAATTCCAGCTTGTCCATAGCGGCATTGGGAATTGAACATGTGCTGCATATACTGCTATCAAGAATTTGCTCTGATATACTAACGCACACTTTGCAAAATAACAGTTAAAAGTGCCTCTCTGCATATTCAAGTAATAACACTGCGTTTAAGTGGACCCTCGGACTAAAAATCATTTGGAATATGTTTAAAAGTAGAAAACTTTTATCACGAAACCTGGATACCATGTTGAGATAAATATTTAAATGTTTTTTATGTCACCTGGACTGAAGTGCTGGGATAGCCTCAATTGATATTTGTGCTCAGAGTTGCTTGTTTCACTAGTTAAAATTATCTGATATTGTTGTTTTTAATTAAGTGCAATTGGGCAAAGCAGTTATATACATGTAGATGTATGCATTTTGTAGCTGTGTTTCTGTGGTTAACTCTGTATAGATTGATAAAATGTTTGTGAGAATCTTTATACCAGTGCGTCTTGTTGCTCTTAAATGTTATTCCATCTTAGTGAAAGAAGTAATTGAATCAGTTTTTACAAATTTTACCTATAGGATCCTTTGCGAGATGCATTTGCTTTATTACGTTATGCACATGGGCATTCTTTCAGATTATATGCTCAGGTTAAATTTGCATGAAAGAAATCGCTTTGTTTTAATACAATACCTTCAAATAGGTCATACCGCTTTTTCATATCTGTTTGGTTTGATTAGTCTGCATTAAGCATGTCATGTATCAGACATATACAGTTATTTTAATGAATAAATTATTTCTATTAGGAGCTGTTTGTAAAAATATTCCATCATGATTCTTTCACATTATATGCTCAGGTTAAAGGGCTAATAACTCTTTGTATCAACTATGAGATCTATATTTCACAATAAAAACATTGTAAACAACTCATAGGAATATAATATATTCCGTTTTAACACAATAACAGCTGTTATAGTTATTATATATATATTCTGATATCTGAACTTGTGATCAGACCACTTGACCTCGATAGATGGCTATACTCTGTAATCATCTCTTAAGAGATTATAACATAAAAACCAAACTTTGTAGGAAAAAAAAAAAAAAAAGATTAAACTTTGAATGTAGAAATTCATTAACCATTGGTAAGTATGGGAATATTGTTGTTTACGATATAATATTGTTTCCGAGACAATTCATTTTTTGGACAAAACAAACAGTTATTATCCCTTAAAATTTGCATGAAAGAAATCACTTTGTTTCAATGCAATATCTTCAAATAGGTCATATGTTGTTTTTTTCACATCTCTTTGGTTTGATTGGTGTGCATGAAGCATGTCATGCATTAGACACATACAGTGTAAAAAATTTCCTTGAATAAGAACCACTGCTTTTACCTTTTTGAGATATGAATTAAGCAAGTTAAAATGGGTGTGCCTTAAATATTTTTTAATAGTGACAAAAAGACAATAATTTTGAAAAAAAAATTTTAAACATTTACAATCACCGATGCAGGGCATTAGTGGAGATAATGATGGTTTCTGACCGTTCTAGAAAACTCAGGTTATGTAGAGATCTAAGTAACATACCGCTAGATGATGAATCTCAGGTGAATCGGCGACTGAATATAAACTTGGTCGACAGACGATTTTATTAATTTTTTCTTTTTTGGTTTGAGATATATTTAATGAACATAGCAAACGAAACTTATGCAGTTCTGCGTTCTAACCCATAAAAAAGGATATATGACGTAGATGTATCTTAACATCAGTTTTGTACATTTGTCTGGAGTTCTCGCATGAAACGGGGCTGTGTACATCGAGAAGTAGGTCAATTAAAGCCGCGGCATCTCTAGTCTGTGGAGGCAGAAAAGTTGCACAACAAAGTCGAATGGAGGCCAAGCGTCTTCAATCGAAATGGATCGCCTGTAAGTATATTTATTTTCACGCACTGTCCAAAGGGCGATCCAGTGATGATATATGGACACTGAAGAAACCACAGCTAAGCTCGCCAGAAGTGCCTAAGCACATATATTGGAATCAAGGCTAATGGCAGAGTTTCACTTTCTGACGCAAGGAAAAGAAAAGCGCTACGTGTGATTTAGACAAAAGGGAGTTAGGACAGTAAGTCTTATGCCAAAACAGGTACTTCTTAGGCGTGTTTTCTAACAGCCAAATAAAATTAAACTTTGTTCTTTAGTTTCAAAGGGATCATTTAAATAATTACTTGAAGTTAAGAATGTAAATTTGAGCAATATCAATTGAAGATATAAGTTGATGAAAAATTACGTTTGGCAGTTTGTAACAATTTGCATGGCTGTATATGTATGTGTAGTGTAATATTCATGTCATTCCTTTGTTACTATCTTGTTTTTTACAACCCTGTTACACATGCATAGTTTCAGGTTTTATATTTAGAAACCTTTGTGTGGTGGTGGTGGTGATTGGGGGAGGGGAGGGGGTTGAACATAAATATTTGGCCGTAAATATTTTACTTATGTGCTTCATATGATGATTACAAATTCAGTTTGTGTCATGTTGCACTTGAAACTGCCTAGTCTACATTGTGTCCTTTGGTGAAGTCAGAGACACTGTGAAGAATGATTGTGGCATCAAGATACACCTTTTTCTCAGCTGCTAGGATGCTGTGTGAAGAGGAGGGGTAAGTATACGGTGAGTATGAGCTTCCACTGTACACTGTGTAACTAGTCTTTTTCATGGTAGCTAGAAATTCAAAAAGACTACTGCCTTATGTCATGCATTAGTATTATATCTCCAGCCACTTTTTCTATGTCAACACATGTCATCTTTTATTATATATTTAAGTTACAGAAATGGGGATTCCTTGTTGTTATTAGATTTTTTGTTAAAGGTTTGCAGACGGTTTTGATTTTTGTCAGTAATGCTTGTTAACCAATTGTTTTTTCATAAAAAAATGCAAAATAATATAATAATAATTATAATAATTGTATAGTAACAGAATCAGGTTAAAGATATGTATTAATCACCTATGTTGTTTCCTCTCTCTCAAGACCAGAAGGACAAACTCATCTGATGAGGTGCTCTGCTTTCTGTGATCTTCTTGGCTGAGATATGGTAAATGCAATTACTCTAAAGACTAGGAAAGTGGAAGGAAGACACTGAACTTCAAATTTACCAAGTAAGGTAAGTCTAAAAGGTAAGAGTTTCAGTATTAAACAAATCTAGATCTTTTTATTTTTCATTTGGCAAGAAAATTACCCTGTGTCTTTTGCTTATATCTTCCTGGTAAAATAAATACCTAACCCCCCTCCCCCCCCCTCCCCGGCCTCAACTATAAATTAAAATAATAGTTAAAACTAAAGTAGGTTTTATTAAACAAACAAAAAAAAACTTGTATAGATTAAATAAAAATTACTAATATAATCTTTCCTTAACCTACACAAACAGTCTTGTTTAAAGAAAAAGAAATTTTTAGTAAAATATTGAAGATCCCATTCTTTACCCTTTCTCTGGTCGTCAATGGGCTATTGGCAGTATTCCTATTCTGACAATAGTTAAATAGGTGCAAAATATATATTTTGGCTTACTTTCCTGTTTTGATCAGTTTATTTCAGTAATATAAGAAATTACAAACTTGTGTAACCAAATTCATGAATATGTGACCCAAATTAATTAAAATTATTAACAAATTACTTCTCACCCCCCCCTCAAATGTTGTAAGTTTACATGGCTCCACATTGCATATACTTGAGTGACTTTTATTGAACGAAAAAATTTTGTATACATTTTATAGAAATAAGTAATATAGCCTTTCCCTAACCTCCAAAAACAGTCTTATTAAAAGAAAATGATAATTTTAGTAAAATATTAAAGATCCCATTCTTTACCCCCTCTCTAGTCACCAACTGGCTTTCGGCCATTTTGCTGTACTGACAATAGTTAAATAGGTGCAAAATATATATTTTGGCTTAGTTTCCTGTTTTGATGAGTTTATTTCAGTAATATAGGGAATTATAAACTTGTGTAACCAAATTAATGAATATGTGACCCAAATTAATTAAAATTATTAACAAAATGCTTCTCAACCCCCCCCCCCTCAAATGTTGTAAGTTTACATAGCTTCACATAGCATATACTTGAGTGACTTTTCTTCAACGAAAAAATTTTATATAAATTTTATAGAAATAAGTAATATAGCCTTTCCATAACCTCCAAAAACAGTCATTAAAAGAAAATGATAATTTTTGTAAAATATTAAAGATCCCATTCTTTACTCCCTCTCTAGTCACCAA